GATGCTTTCTGTCATAAGCAAGAACGGCATTACGTAATCTACCACCGACTCTTAAAATGTTATTAGAGTCTAAAAAAGGACTTAAGCAGAGTAACGAGTTGTTTGTTGGCAATTCTTTACCCGATTTTAAAATAGCAATTTCTTTTTGAAAAGATTCACGTTGAACTAACGTTATAATTATGCGGTTGGCATCGTCCAATTCTTCTATGGTTAGTAAACCCGACTTTAATTCTTTGTTAAGTCTTTTGTTTCTACAGTTATTTACAAAACGCTTGATCCATGCAACAGTTCTTTTAAGCTTGGTAAAATTTGAAAATCTGATTAATAAATCCGATTTAAAGGTAGTACATGTGGAAGTAATTAATGTTTTTTGTCTTTCTGGAACTGCAGTTCCTAAGTCTATGATTGTCTGTGGCCAATCCGTAGGTGGCTTTGAGAGCCATTCGGGACCAAACCACCACAATTTGCAATCAATGAGTTGTTTAGGAAATAAACCTCTTGTAATCAGATCTGCAGGGTTATCAGTACCATTTATGTGGCGCCAATTATGACCGGATGTTAAAGTTTGAATTTCTGACACCCTATTCGCCATGAAAGTTTGCCAATTATGTGGTGAAGCCGCAATCCAGTTTAACACGATTGTTGAATCGGTCCACAAAAAACACTTATTAATTTTTAAATTTAGTTCAGGCAGAATTTTACTTATTAATCGCGCTAATAGTAACGCTGCTGAAAGCTCCAATCTAGGTAGCGATATAGTTTTAAGTGGGGCTACTCTACTTTTTGCACATAATAATTGAGTATGTGTTTCAGCACTTGATAAAATTGTTTTAATATAAATGGCGGCTCCAAAACCCTTAGTACTCGCATCTGCGAAGCCATGCAATTCAACGATATTCGGGGTGTCATTTCTAAAAATATGACGTGAGATTTCAATATTCTTGACATCGGGTAAATTAATCAGAAATTGGTTCCAATGATATTCTAAATCACTAGTAATTGGGTCATCCCAACCAATTTGCGCGGCCCATAAAGATTGCAGAAGTAATTTTGCCTTTAAAATTACTGGAGTGATAAGACCTAATGGATCGAAAATTGTAGCCACTGTGGCCAAAATAGTGCGTTTTGTAGTTTTGCTGGGTAGCCTGTTTAACGCTAAGTTATACTTCAGTTGATCTTTGTGGCAATTCCAAATTAAACCTAAAGTTTTTGTTTCAGTGTCGCTAGAAAAATTAACAGAAGCCTTTATGTCACTTTCTGGTAATAATGTTGGTTCATTTGAAGCCCATTTGTGTAATTTGAAATTACCTTGATTTAAGATCTGAATGATGTCGTCGCGAAGTGCAAGCGCTTCTTCCAATGTACTTGAACCACAAATTAAGTCATCCATATAAAAGTTATTTAAAATATTTGACGCGGCTACAGGTAATACATTCATATTTTCTAGTGCTAATTGTTTTAAGCACCGCATCGCAAGATATGGCGCTGACGCTGTCCCGTACGTCACTGTTTTTAATTGATAAATTTGGAGAGGGTCACTTACATTTTCACGCCAAAATATTCTTTGAAATTGTTGATGATTTTCAGTTAAGAAAATTTGACGATACATCTTTTCAATGTCCGCACTAATGACATACTTGTACGTTCTGAACTTTAATAATATTAAAAATAATTCCTGTTGCAAGTTAGGTCCGATTAATAGATTATCATTTAGACTGTGACCGTTAGAACTTGTCATGGATGCATCGAATACTACCCGAAGTTTATTTCCTTGTGTCGTATTTTTTATGACTGCATGATGAGGAATAAAATAGGAATTTTCTGAGCTAATGTCAGACACTAGTTGCATATGGCCTAATTGTTCATACTCTCTCATGAACTGGATGTAGTGATGTCTCAGTTCCATGTTTTTTAAGAGCTTTCGTTCTAATGTGAAAAATCGATTTCGCGCCATTGTTTCTGAATGTCCCAACATTATGGACTTATTTTTGAAGGGGAGGTCTACTACAAAATTTCCAAGATCGGTACGTTTATGTTTGTCAACAAACTGTTTTTCGCAAGATTTCTCTTCGGGAGAGAGTATCTTGTTATTAGGACTTCCAGCAAGACTCTCTAATTGAAAAAAATCTAAGACTTGGTCATTTAAAGCTTGCAGCGTATTTGTATTGCACGTACTTAAGCTCATAAAATTAGTAGTGTTTATGGATCCTCCAATAATCCAACCAAAATCTGTATTATGCAAATAAAGAGAGTTGCCTATTTGGATTTTCCCATCTCTTAATACTTGGAAAAACATTCTTGCCCCTAATAAGATATCTATTTCTCCGCAAATGTTAAAATTGGCGTCAGCTAAATTTACAAAATCTGGAATTACCATACCCTTCGTAGAAAATGAGTTTAGAGGTAGGTTTTGTGTAATTTTGTTCAATACCAAGCAATCTATGTTATAATGCAAACCCTCTTTAAATAATGAAGAAAGATGCACCTGAACGGTTTCGTTTACTCTGTTGGACGATAAATTTACGCCAGTGATAATGTGATTTGTACTCTGTGTTTTGAGGCGCAATTTTTGACATAAATCTCTGGTAATGAAATTAGATTGTGAGCCTCCATCAAGTAATGCTCTGCATTTATGTATCTTTCCAAAATTATCCCAAATGTAGATAATTGCGGTGCTAAGTAATGTCTCTGACAAATTGTAATTGCTAGTGTGATTTGAAGTGCTTGTCCCAACGTGAGGTTCAGGCAATACTTGTTGGATCTCCATTCTATGTAATAAGCTATTATGTTTTTGTTTACAATACTTACATGAACTATTTGATCTGCATTCGATACAAATGTGGTTTGGTTTTAAACAATTGTTACAAAGTTTTAGAGACGTTATCTTTTTTATGCGTTCTTCTAATGACATTTTTAAAAATTCATTGCATGAGTACAAATTGTGATTAGGCCGTTTACAAACTAAGCATGTCCTTTTTGTTGTGAAGTGACTGACTGTTCCCTTAATATTGTAATGTTTCGGTCGTGGATTTGCATTAACATGGGCAGTACTTTCCAAAATTTGACACCGCGCATCTATTAACTTAAATAATTCCGCTAATTTGGGTATATCATCTGTTAATTTTGACTGCCATTCACGCTTTGTTTGGTAATCAAGTTTATCGACAATTATGGTGGTTAAGATTGAATCCCATTGATCTACTGGAATTTCAAAGGCTTTTAATGCTGCAATGTTGGCGCATAATAAATCGCTTAATTGTCTTAAATTTTCTTGATTAGCCCTTGTGACGGCTGGCGCATCTAAAATGTTTTTTATATGCTCATGTACAATTAGTCTCTTATTTTGAAAACGTTTGTTTAACAAATCCCACGCGATTTCGTAATTTGCATTTACCGGGGACAATGACTCGATGGCTCGAAAAGCTTCTCCCTTCAAGGTGGACCTCAAATAATGGAATTTTTCAATATTTGATAACGAAGAATTTTCATGTATAACAGATTTGAAAGTATCCCGGAAAGAAGTCCAGTCAGAATAAGCTCCGCTAAATTCCGGAAGTTTTAATGCCGGAAGCGTTATTTTTGGAGTTGGATTTTCACGATTGTTTATACTAGTATGTTTCGAATTACCTTCGCTTTTAATAATTGTATCAATTTCGGCTATAGTTTCGTAATATTTTGCCTCGAAATTAATCCGGTGGTCTACCTCATCGTCAAGCAATGCAGGTGGAACATTTTCCTCGATTTTAAATTGCACTTCTTTGAAATCGTTAATTGCGTTAAGAGCGATTGGTCTTCGCGCGATTATTAAACCGATATTGCTGCCAGACGGAAAATTTCTGACAAATTCTAAAATTCGATCCAACTCTGAAACAATTTGGTTGCGCTTATTTATCCACGATCTTAATAAATTAGCTGTTTCACCTTCCGAATCGGATTCGGCATCTCTGCTTTTGGACGATTTGTTAACCCTTTTGCCCATTTTAATTTTAATTTATGTGGAAATACACACAATAAGTACTTGAACAGAGGCGGAAATCGTAGGAATGTAGGAAAATGGGATCTGACCTTTGACTCCCGTGCTACTGGCGGCCGAACTCCTCGCAGGCGTCTTACTCCGTGCTGCAGGTCTCGGGCCCTCGGCGACGGCGATGTGGGAAGTGGGATCTGCTGTGGATCCTCGGGATGATTTCACCGGAGTTGTATGCGTCGCTTCCGGAGATTTTTTAGATTGTTGACACGGGGTGGTGACTTAATTGAAGAACCACTGCTGCCGTGCTGCTGCGAGAACTGTTTGTTTCCCTTTTTTTTGTGTTTCTTCTCCTGCTGCTCACTGGTCACTACTCTCCACTGTTTTTTACCGGAATTTATAAAAATCCGGCTCGAAGGACCAAAATGGTGTGTAGCGGTGAGGGGAGATTATAAACAATTGTGTATGGCACACAGGTTTATTGAAAATTGATTATTACATCAGAGCACCCGTGTGCTAGATGTTCCGGACAAAACTTAATAGCGACTGACTTAAAAACTAACTGTGTCGGTGTAACATAAGAAGTCGCCCCCGAATCGAAACCCAATGATTTTTTACGGGTCAACCGGGTCAAAGGGGTGGCTGCAGACCTGCAGCTGCAACATTTCTTTGACACACCGACGACATAGGCGTACTAAAGACATAGGCGTACCGACGACATTGTAGCACACGCAACAACATGTTCTGTGTGTTCTGAATAATTGAAGTGAATTGGCTTAAGTTATTGATACGTTGTTTACTTAATTTAATAATTTAGGACTCTTTTTGTGCACAAATTAAAATTAATTAATAAAGTGATTAGGGTATAATAATGGAAAATTTTTTGTTTGTAACAAATAAAAATGTTTAATAATTACAGCGAATTCGGTAGCAATTAACATTCATTAAAAGATGTACAGCAACTTTCTCGGTGGCCAACTCTGGCATAAAAATCACCCACCAGCGGCAATTAACATAAAATATTTTTTTCCAGTCTCTGGAGAGCACCCGGCGCATGCTACAATACTGTGAGGAGGTAATTATCCACTCTTATCCTTTTCCAAGCAGCCAAAACTTGTACCAAGTCTTTAATTACCTTATTCTCTCTAGGTGATTAATTTCACGACAAATGCAATTTCATGATAAATGAACCAAACTGGGGTGTCAGGATTTTACTTTTTAGTTGATTGATTTATTTTGTAATAATTCATACCTTCTTTGCTCTAAGTGTTGCAATTTCCATACAATGCGGTGATGTCATGATTGTTAAACGAGGCCTTGTTGTATGGAAATCGTATTGATGTATCTCTGTGCTGCATGTCTTGCACTGTCTCTTTCTGTCCTGTGAACCGAGTCTGAGCCACTACTGGTGCAGAGCAGGACTACCGTGGGGACGCTCTGCTGAAGAACGGGGGGTTTTATGGGACGGTTGCGGTGTGCTTACATGGACTCGATGTTGTGGTAGCGGTAGCCCTGCAAGTGTGCCTGTGTTTGTGCTGTGTTACGTGTACAGATATGAGATTATACAGGGCCGTGCTTAGGGGGTGGCCGGGTCTGTATGGCGCCCACCTTTTCACATTTGTTAAAAACTTAAAATCCGATATATTCAGACAGGCGGCCCTTTTTCTAGGCACGGTACTGAGATTATACCCACACGCACTTTCGCACACACACACTAGCAGACTACAATTGAATATTTTGGTTCGCGACCACCGCCACCTCCACCTCACCACCGTTTTCTGACAAAGTGGATTTAGAAATGCACTGTTCGAAACAACCATTATTCATCCCTTGTCAACATTTTAAACCGACTTGTGGAAGATTGGAATTTTCGCCTAGGATTTGATTGCTTTTTAGCTTTGTTTGGAACGAGTTCCTATACTGAGTTTCGTTTATTTATCGTGGCAGACGTCTGGTTTCATTCACGAAATTTTTCGTTTTGATACATTCGTACTTGTGCTGGTTTATTGTCGCTTTTGTGTATAGATTATTTTGATTTTTTTTTTTTTCGAAAAATATTTGTCGGTGAATATGTTTCTCAGTTATATTTTTCATTAAATTGATTAAAATATGCTCAGAAGTAACAAATTCTTGAGAAAGCTAATTTGGAAGCAGCAGTCTCGCAGTGCATGATTTGGTGTATTTATTTGTTGAAATTGTTTTGGATTTATTCATCAACATTACTCATCAAATTTGTTTTACATGAATTTGTTTGGATGGTTTGGTAAATTTTAATTTACACGTATTTTTTAACAAATCACTGCAACAACAATACTTACTACTTGAATTTTGGAAATGGCAAGCGTCAGATTTTTACTTCTTTTAAAAACAAAAAAAAATCAAATTTATTAATTTATGTTGGTAGCTTATATTGTCATGTAAAAAATTTTGACACAAAATAGAAATTTAATTTCTTGGTAATAATACGCTTACAAGAAATTTGAGATGATTAACTTTGAAGCTGCGCAGAATTTCATAATTTCATTCTCGATTGTTTGTCACCACAAAATATGTATTTTTTATTTCAAATGTAACCAAATTCTTCTTTTCATAAATTTTGGAAAATATGGATAGCAAAAAAACGCTGTTAATACTTTCTTCAGACAGTCATTACGAACATGATTGTTGTGTGCTTAATAAGTATTGCAAAACAGTCCGTTCGGTATACAAGTTTTTCCAGATTTTCATCTTGTCTCTGTAAAACAAGAGTTTCATTGTACTTCGAAATTTTTATACTAAAATGGAATTTTTTGGATTTGTACATATTAGAACTTCGACTGTATAACACAAGATAATCAAAAAATTTCAATGGTACGTTGTTAAGAAGGCTATGAAGAACTCGAAAAAAATGAAATTAAATGAAATTCCCATAAAAATTATCAAATTGACATCTACCAACAGTAAAAAATGACGTGAATCGTATTCTTGCAAATTCTTATTAAAGTATTAATAACTAATTATTTAAGGCGAGTCCATACCTTTGTCACTTGGGGTGCTTAGTACATTTTCAGAATGTAATATTCCTGTTAACACACTTTTTGCTATGAAATTAAAAAAAAAATTTAAACAGTTTACTATGTTTATTCTTTTTAAAGTGTTGGTGAAATTTTTCATCACGTATTTTTAAAATTCAATATCTTAATTATTTATGGAAGTTTCGAAACGCAGTTTTCACCACTCTTTTTAGCTTACAAAGCTCTATAGATTATGTGAAAAACGTCGATTTATTTTGTTGAAAATAAGATACAGTAAAAGCAGCTTCTTTGACATAAGCTTCTTTTTAGAGTATCTTATTTTCGGAAAAAAAAATCGCCAATTACCCGGGTAATTTGTAGAGTTGTGTAAGTTGAAAACAGTGGTGAAAATTGCGTTACGAAATTGCCCTCAATAGTAGAGATATTGATTTTTAAACATACGTGATGAAAAATTTCACCAAAATGCTAAAAAGAAGAATGATATAAATGTAAAAAAAAACTCTTACGTTGCATTGCGAATTTCATAATAATAGGTTTATTAATAACGGAGATATTATGTTCTGAAAATATATTGAAAATCCCAAAAGCCAAAGGAACTCCTCTTCACTATTAGACATCCAGTTCATTAAAACATCAGAATTACAATACAAAGTTAATTCTTCAACTTTGAAGTCTAATATTTTCAAAAGTTTGTTGCAGGGATTTTTTTAATAATTTTTTTCGAGTTTCTCAGAGCCTTTTTAAAAACGTACTGTGGAGCTTATCCGTCATTTTTTGTTCCCTCTGTATACAGACTCAATTCCATTATTCAGTAATAAAGTATTTAAATATCATAGTTGTTTTTTTTTTTTTTTGCATACCAAATTATTACACTCACTATGACCTAATCTTTTTAGTTTTCGATAAATATACAGATGTTCAAAAAATGACGTACCAACTCTATGACACGTTGTTCAGGACCATTTAAGGAGCAGAGAAAAAATTATTTAAAAAATCCTCTGGTGCAAATGTAGAAGTGGGAAGATTTCTTTTTTCGAAATTTCACCATATTTTAACTCACTACTTTGTGGTGGGTATCTGAAGTCGATTGGACATTTATTATTCAAAATAATTTTGGAGGTATCTTGTCTTTATCTATAGATTTCTTCATTCACAGGAATTAAAAACGAAAACTTAAAAATTATTTAGTATGAATCTGGTGAAAGTGGCTAAATTTTCACGTTGTTTGGTCTATCTAGATCGATATTTTGTTTTTGTAAGTGAACGTCAAATTGACGGGAAGAATTTTTTAATAGTTTTTCCCCAACTTAGATTTGTGAATTTAATCATGTATCGTTGAGTTGCTGCACCATTTTTTGAACAGCCTGTATATTAGAATTTGCCTAAAAATCAAATGTAGGCAAATGAACCAACATCGGTATGATAATCGTATTATTATTATTATTATTATTATTAAACTGAAAAGCAGCATATTTCACATGAGACGTCGCAAATGTTTGCCTGCCAAACTATGTTTTTTAATATTCAGGGCTTTCATTAATGTTTGATTTCTAGTAAGCTGTTCACTTTGTTAAGTTGGCACGACTGACAGATTATCAAGTTCAATTTGAAATTTGACGTTTGGTATCAAAGTCGCACGTTGCTATTATTGTGGTACTTGACGTATAACAATTTTAGGTTAAATATTGCGCAGTGAGGCGCAGGAAGTACGAACTGATTTTAAAAATCCATGGCCTACTAGACTCTAATTATGTAACCGAACCCCTTATCGTAGCAAAATTTTACTCGTTTTGGCGATTAGTGGGTTATTAGTTACATGTAAAATGGTTAAGGACACTAGAATGCAAATAAAAATTCTAAAAAATTAATTTTTAATTAAAAAAATAAGTGAGAAAATGTCATAAAAAACGAAGCACTCTGTAAAGTTGTGGTAATATTGATTTTTAATTTTTGTCTGGAGTTAAGTTAACTAATTAAACAAATACAAATGAATTCTGGGGTATTTAAAACTTTGTAAAGGGCATCATAGATGAACTCTGCAGCTTCTTTATCAATAATTATTTTGTTGCTCTAATTAAATAACTCAGAATTAATAAAGAACCTTGGAGATAATTAAAACTTCAGTGGAACGTAAATTTAAAAAAATCCAACACTGTGACGTCTATTACGTATTTGTTTTGTTGTAGAGGCTTTAATTTATTAACATGAATTCAAAACAAATTTGCTTGATTGAGTATATTTTAATGAAATAAATTCATCGGTATATAATTAAAGTAGTGTTGTTTTCAACAGACTTTCTAATGCACGTACCACAGAAATTACGCAAAATTCAAATGAATAGAAACGTAAGGAACGAATATTAATTAATTTATTAGTTTTCGTTGTTGGAAATGATAACAGAAAGTCCGTCATAGGCGTTGCCTGACAGTTCGGAGTCTCTAATGGAAGCTACAATTAAAGTTCTCAAATTGAATAAGGAACTTGGCTAATGACGCATACAACAAAATCCACATCACACAGAGAAAGCAATCCGTGTCAAAAAAAAAAAAAAACCAAAATACATGTCATCATGACGGTCTAACTCCATATTTCATATATGCATTAATATATAATTTTTTAAGCACCAAGAGTCGTTTTACAGGTCACAGAATTATTCCGAAAATTACTGTCGAAAGTTTAAGTTGAACATTTTGCAAGAAAAATATTTTATACATATTTTGCTGGTAAACTCCAAGACGTTGCGTTTAAAATGTAAGCACATGGTCATGTTTTGAACGTCTGCGCAATTTCTTGCGCACTTTACCATCAAAGTATAGAATATCTTTCGTGCATAAATTTTGGTAGCAATTTCCGGATTAATTGTTCGCCACATTGATAGTTCTTGTAGTGAAGTTGAAAGTGTTCACAGTAACAACATCGTCAAAAGAAAATACCACGGAATGATTGAATTTATTAAGGTTTTATGTTGTACATGTGTCGGTGCAGTTGTGATTCTCATGCTATCTAAATTACCTTTTCATATTAGATTAGTTGGTAACTATAAAATGCCGACAAGGTCCAATACTGGTTGTAACCCATTGTCATTTAACAAAAAATACCCGAATATATCTACTGCGTTGAATAGATTAATCCGCAAGAGATAATATAAATTATGTGTGTACAATGGTGGTACTCAAAATTGCATGCTTTATGAAAAATAAATTATCTCTTGTTTCCACCAAATTTTATTTTTTATGAAAACAAGCTCTCGTGTTTACACTAAACCTTAGCTACAGCTGTTCTTGAATTTCTTTAAGTTTAAACTTCAACTTTGGTAGTATAAGGTGTGCTCTTTATGGAAATTTTATACTGTTTAAACATGCTCAGTTTATGTTCGCCATTTATGTCCATAATCCTGGTTTTATTTTTCCGCGAAATGAGTCTTAGGTTATGCAGGAGCTGACGCATCTAACAATATTTGCAGAAAGATTTAATGCACGGTTTATTTCTTGCGTCATGAAGAACTCTACGTGAAAACAGAACAGTTTTCCTAAATCCACTCCAGTTACGTTGCTGAGGAGAAAAGTATCAACACACGTCCGGAAGGGTGTCGGAGGTCGCGTCGTTCCATATAATAACATGGCTTATCGTCACATCCACAGCTTGCCGGGCTACCCGTTCCACTCTCTCCAACTCTGTCTGTAAAGTCTTCTCTGTCTATCCGAACCGAACATAAAATATACTGAGTGCTTATCTGTAGCGGGCGTGTACCACTTAACATATATACTAACATACAATGTACACTTGTTTTGTGCTGCTGTAGAGCAAGGAGGCTGGAATCCGAACCTTGGTCGCTCTTGATGACCAGGGAGGTGAGTCTCTCTCCACTCTCACTCTATCATACTTGACCCAATCCATCATTTTACCCAAGATCCGTCATTGTGACTCGCTCTACTTGTTGTGTACTTCATCTGACCGGGAGGGCGCCACGTGCACACCAACGCATTCTAGATCCAGTCACAGATTGTAGCACTAGTACGTACTAGTACTAGTGCTACAAATTGTGATTGGTTGCTAAATTCAAATATACAGACCACTAGTACGACGGTTAGTGGTGTGCCGCGGCTCCGCCCACCATCATTTTAATGTGGTGCATTTCATATTAAACTAAGGTTACATGATAATGAAACTAACATGATAACATTTTGCAGTTCTGAAACACTTAGACACGTTTCGCATGCTGTTGTCGCTTAGCTTGTCCACTCGCTTCCACTTTAAGTGTATTTTCTGCTTTATTCACCTCTTTTTTAAAATATGGGTGTTTGTAAGGATAGTGGTGTGCTGTATTTGGTTTTGTAAGTATGCTACTGGCACTGTGATGTTGTAGAGTTCGGAAGCCGGTACCAAGACGTTGGAAGCACTGGATCATCAAGGCGGTAAGCACCGGAAAGTGTTGGGAGGTGTTAATTAACAAAGCTTTGTGGGTTTTGCGGTTTTTTATTTTGTGGTGGGCTAACAGGTCTAATGTTGCAACTCCATAGATGTACCCACTGATCCTTCCTCTGGTGGATTAACGTATTTAGGTGTTGGTACGACGGAACTAACAACCGCCAGTCGGGCGAACACAGAGATGTGTTCGCCTGTCTGACTCAGTTTTGATACGGGAGGACATGGTGAGAACGGGAGCAGGTTATCCGAGCTGATTGTCTTGATGTTTGTAGAGCCACGAGGTCGGGATGAAAACCCTGGTCATGCTGGATGAACAGGGCGGTAAGCATACTATCTAGTCTCGCTGTGTCTCTCTATTCCAATTCACCCACCGAACAGTAACTGAACAATTCTCACTCCTTAGATCCGTACCACACGACATTCAAAGTTTAATTTCATGCCCTCCCGATCTTTACCCGACATAACAAATGACGACACAGACTCACTTTAGTTGTGCAGGACGATTTATGGGGATCAGGCAGGTAAGGTTGTGGATGAAATCACACTATATTTTAACTGTTGTTGGCAACTTAAATGTGATACTTTGAAATCTCTTCTACTCCAAAGTGCTACTATCTCTTTGAATGTTATATTCGTTTTTCAATTTTAACGTCTTGATGCTTCAGCGAGTTTCACTCCGGCTTAGCCAAGTCAAGCATATACATTTACATTAGTTTACCTTTGAAATATTTGGTTTCCGAGGAGTTTCCGCCGAATCATTCGCTTTACTCTTTGCTAGTTGCACGGAGTGACGAAGATGGAGGAAAATCGATATGGAAAACCGTGCTCTTTTACTAAGAGTTAAAAGTGAAAGAGGATGAAATTCATGGTGTTAACAGGTGTTTGGTATTTGCGGAAACTCTTGACTAACTTACCAGAAATTAAAAAACATCGTGAGCAACAGGTTTATTAATTAAAACGTTCTAATAAAATAAAGAAGAGAGAAAATTTAAGTTTTTTAGAATGGATATTTATTATTAAACATAAATAAAAACGGGCATAAATTTCTATTATTTTTGGTTTTCCGGATATGCATGCAATCTATTTTGTCACCCACGTTTTTACAAGTATGGATGCTTTTTTCATTTGTAGAATAAATATGGTAGTGACCGTAAAATTACCTAAGCGTTTGAAAAATTCCAGCTTTTAACAGTATTTCTATTATTTAAATATTAATAAAGCCAGTTTTAGTGATTATAGCGTAGATGAAGGTTAGCGGCAAGGTAGCTAGAGGAGGGATGACATTTGCAAACATTTCTCAGCTTTATTAATTACGCTTCAGATTCTGCAAGGTGATTTAATTAACTAATTACTAACAATTATTGTAATTTATTTTCTGTAATGCCATCTATTCCCACGTCGAAACGTTATTTTTATCTATAGAGCGTTATTTTAAAAGATGACTGCTCTCGTGTTTATATGCTTCGCTATATTGCATCTTAAAATCATGTAGCATCAATAAAGTATGAAATGTCACGATTTAGAACCCTCTTGGCCTTTGGTGCTGACACCGGCACTAAAGACAATAACTTTACTGAATACCATGTCGATCTGCTGTACATTGTGTTTGGCGTATTGTTATACCGAAGCAGAATTGTGCAGTCTACTAATTTATGTTGATTTGAAAGGAAACCTGTGCACGTATTCGTGCCGTAAATGTTTTACGGTAGAAATGGATGCTGAATAAACTGATCAGCTATGTCTAAAATAATGTAATAGGTTTATTTAGATGCAGCCAAGACAGAAAAGAAAATATGAAAAGTATAAGAATAGGAACGATGGCGCAATATCAAACCGGGTGATTTTTTTGATTCGTGGTGTAATTTCCCAAGAATTTGTTGACAGAACAAATGCGGCCCAAAATTAGAAAGCTGGTTATGTTATGTGAACAAGAATTAAACCGTCGTTGGATTTTAAAATGATTTATTTATGATAAGGAACATATTTTATTGCCGTCATGCGGAAAATGTCCATTCTGCATTTCTTCATGATTAATCTGGTCAATTCCTGCAACATGTTCTAATATTTCGCGGCTGTAACTGACTCCTCGAAGAAAATGAGCCCCAACTCCAATTTTTTGTGGATATAATGGCGTTTTATTTTTCGAGTTTCCGTACTCTGATAGATGAAGCTTCACTACTAAAAAATGTTACATCAAGAGGATCGTGGTTCAAACAAGTTACATAAATCATTCCCCTACTACGAAAACCTTCTTAAAAATGTATGGGGGTTATCATCCATAACCTGTCGGACATTTTCAATAGCTTCGGTAGTTCTGTTTTGTTAATGTGCGACTTCCTGATTTCCTCTTAATGCTACCAGTCTCACGAAATAATTTTATCAGATAACTGAGTGTCCTTAAATAATTAGCTTCAAGAAGAACAACCCGAGAAAATTTTTCATGAAATTTCTTGCTAGTCTTTGCGGAAGTAAGCATTTCTTATGATGTTCTGAGAACATTTTTCTCGAGATGAAAATTTAAGTTCTCTACCAAAACACACCTGGATAGTTTTGTTTCACATTTAAATAAAGTTCTAGCCCTAAAAACGACTGATTTTTGTCATCATAACACAAATTGTATGTCCTAAGAGACGACCTACGTAATTTGGTGACATAATGGGTAACGAAAACTAGATCACAAATCAAAAAAATCACAAGTATTTTTTAAAGAATATATTATGTCTCTTAAACTTTGCAAAGTCAGTGATTAAATAGAAACGTTAGGGTGACTTACCAAATAAATACCAAAACTACTGAGTAAAAAATCTTAGGAAAAGAAGAAGTTCAACAGCCATAAAATACCAAAGATACAATTTAAAAAAAGGGAGAGATAGAAACGGTTTTACAATTATATTTTATGCAGCAGTTATAAAAAATAAATTTATTTGATTAATTTGTAGACTGTTCTAAAATTCTAACGATAATTAACATCAGTCACATCAAATATTTGAAAATAGTATATTAAAGAACGAGTTTCATAAGGCAAATATTAAGGCATGAACCCACGTTTATAGAACGAGCGGCGAAGCCGCGAGTTACATAAAGGATGAATGCCACAATGGCCTTATGAACGAGTTATTTATACTATTTTTTCTACCGCGCACGTTTTTTCGCAAAATTTAATTGAAATTTGCGTTTTTTTAAATCTGGGGAATTTTATCGTGGTCGGTGATGGGTTGGTCTGACACGAACCACGAAATATTTGAAGTTCGAATTTTCACAACAATAACTAATTTGAATCAATTCGAGTTTTTGTAAGTTAAAATGTCTTGTGAAGAAGTTAGAGAAGTCCTTATGCCTCCCGAAATACGGGAAATTTTAATTTGACATTTGCCACTGACATTCACCTGACATTTCTCGTCATGGCTACCAATCTTACCGATCTAAATTACACCAGAACTATTCCAGAACCCCTTTCGTCTATTAACGAACCGCTTTGACGTCATTTGGGTGCTCTATTAGAAAATCAAAAAACGTGCGCGGTAGAAAAAGTAATTTAAAAAAATAATTAAAACAAAAAACCTGTTTCAAAACAATTAAACCGTTTTTTATTCGCTATTGTTAAAACAGGATAACTAATTTGAAAATTGCATAATTCCATTTTTAAAAACGGTAGTGTTTTAAGTAAGTACTTTCATAAATAAAAAAATTATTTGGAAATTTAAGCGGAAAACTTAAATCCCCTAGTAATTATTCTTTGTGGTCATGTTGAAGTTTAAATTTACAGAGGTAAAATATGGGACTTTGGGTTTTTAATAAAAAAATTACACTGAAATTCATTCTTGAGCCCGAATTAGAAAAGAATTCCGTGGCCGGTCCAAATTTTTCAAATTTTGAAAGTATTGTACAAACGGAGTTACGCTCCTATAAGTTAATAAAAAATGTAAAAAAAGTAGTCCGGGGAACGCAGTTTATTTTGATTTTCTCTCCAAAATCGTGAACGTGAAATTATATTTCTACATAAAGCATAGTATGATCAATAAACTTGATTAAATAGCTTTGGAAAACAAAGGAATTGTCTTTAATTGGTCATTGTGTAAACGTTGACAAATTTAAATCAAAGCAAAAGTTGTTTGACAAATGGCACTCCATAAACCAATTTCATTAATTGTTCCATTGTGTAGCATTGAAAATCGAAATTACTACCTAGACAATTGGAAAGTCAAGTAAACTTAGTTCACTTTGCAATAACCCTGTCAAATTTAGGAAAATGTTGGACGCCTGTGCGTCATCTTGATGTTTGTATCAGTGAAAACATTTGGCGCGTTCAGACAGAAAAAAAAATGATTGTGTAACCATACAGTTATACATAATCAATCATACAAGGAAATTTAGTACATGTTATCATAGTAATAATCTGATTTTTTTACAAAAGTAAAGCAATGTTTACAGGAAAAGTTATTTAAATGTTAAAAATTCTTTCTAATGCTTACAAAATGTTACGGACCACACATTTTGGTGTATCTGTTAGAAAATTTTTAGATGATACATCTGCTGCTCGTAGATTGATGAAAATATATATGCTGAACTAGATCGTTTGATCTTATTCGATCGATTATTTAAAGTGTCGGCTGCATATAAACATATTATTTAATCTCGACTATTAAACAGTCACTTTTGAAACAAAACGGGATCAATCACGTACAAGTAATCGAAAGATTATTAAAATTATATAGACCGGTGTACAGAAGCACTTAATCACGCCATTAATTTAAATCAGGCAATGAATCAATTACGTAATCAAATGAGATAGAGATATTTATTTTTAATCAGTTTTACATTGGAATTTTTCACCTACATAAAAAAAGTGTGTAGAAAGACAAATTTTGATAATTTTTTGATAATCACAATGAAGCAACCCATATTATTATTTATTGATTTATGAGTAAATATTCGTATTAATTTTATGCCTACATTTGATTATGGCCGCTGTGTATAATTTAAAATAAGAATCCTTTTTATGTGATATATTTTTACCTTGGATAACGAATATTGGTTCATATTTATATCACATTTCGAAATTAGAAACCTACAGAAGTAACGGAGTAAAATTAATGAACAGAAAATCAAAGCCTTCAATTTCTGGAATAGTAGCTATTCACCGTCTTCTTGGCAAATAATCTTATTTGGATGATACATTCAAGAATAGAAATGATCCTTGGCCAATAAAGTTTTTCCAAGGATGTGACCTCTTTCCAAATCGTTCTGCACAACTTTCCCAGATCCTCCTCAAAGAAAACGTGCCCAAAACAAATCGATGAAGTACAGTCAAGGTTGAAACGTTTTTATCTCTCCTTTTTCGATATTTATCCCATTTGTAATGAACAATAAACACGAAAAGGTGAAAAAAAAAGCGTTTCAGCCGCATCCACCCTGAATAAAAATTGCGTTATAATGGTTAATAACATGATTCAAAGACATCCACATACATGAAGGATTAACACTGCCGAAGTAAGTTAACACTAACTCACATAACCGTTAAACGTGTATATTTCACACTGTCAGTTCTCTTATATTTCCCAGCTCAGGCCGTTCTATAAACATCTCGAGTAGCATGGACTTTACTGAAAACTAGTCTGCTTACTACTACATATAGAACTGTAGTGCATTAACTGAACCCTCGAACACGGCGCCGCCTCGGCCCGTTTCCGGGGGTTCCCCGTAGAATAGAGGCATGTGCATGCGGTTTGTTCCAACTCTGACACACACACAACCAACGCTACACGTTTCGAGATAGCGAGTTTTAATGTGCTAAGTCGCTCGGGGGTCGATCGGGTGTTAATCGAAGTCGGTCTTGTACAGAACAACTGGACCGTATCGAGGATGGCATGGACCAGATCAACGCTGATATGCGAGAGGCCGAAAAGAACCTTACCGGGATGGAAAAATGTTGCGGACTTTGCGTTTTACCATGTCAGAAGTGAGTCCGTTTCGGGGGAGCCCGTGCGCCTTTCGATCGGGTTAATTCGCGCTGTTTCGTAGGGGCTCGTCGTTTAAGGAGGACGAGGGCACATGGAAGGGCAACGACGACGGGAAGGTGGTGAACAACCAGCCGCAGAGAATGATGGACGACCGCAACGGATTGGGACCTCAAGGAGGATACATCGGACGTATAACTAACGACGCTCGCGAGGAGGAGATGGAGGAGAATATGGGACAGGTTAATACCATGATCGGGAATCTGCGTAACATGGCCATCGATATGGGCTCGGAGTTGGAGAATCAAAACAGACAGATCGAGCGTATCAATCACAAGGTAATTATGGCGGGTTTTTATAAGTTGTTTCGTTTGATATTGTGCTAGCACTGGATATTTTATTCATTTGTTAAATTAACACCGACTGGGTAAGTAAGTTTGGCTTAAGTCAAGTGATGCGGGGGAGGTTTTTTAAATTTTAACGCTAAAGCATCAATCTTATTTTGATTTTTTTAAGTTGTTTTTTCTACATGTTTCGAAGTCCTAAATTCAACCATAAATTTTCTCGTAACTGAAGTTCAAATTATAAGTTTACTCGGAACGTTATTTTTGTATACACTATAAAATTTTATGACGTGATTAGAGATCACAGTAGGGTCTCTAACGATTATAAAACGATTAGTATGACCTTTGGTTAAATTATAGGGGTTGTGTTTTAAAGAAAGGAAATGGCAAAAATAATTACAAAGTAGCAAAATATAAATACTTGCTAAAGAATAATATAAACCACAGCTATATACAGGAAGATTATAAAAGATCCTTCAAAATATCGTACATCAAATTGGTTTATTTGCATAAAATAAATACAATGCTCCAGAGGGATTAAATCAGACGATTGGGCTGACCAAGAAATATTTTTTGTTATGATTCTATTATCAAAATATTTTTTGTTTCGCGCGCAGTATGAGCTGTTGCCCCATCTTGCTGGAAATACCGTAAATTCTTCATCATGCAGCTGACTCAAGGATTCTTTCTGTATTTGAAGGTGTGGAAATTCACCAGACAGTTTGATTTTCTTAAATCGCAGTCAATAATTATTGTTTCTGTCGACATGTAAATTATCTCCCAGTCCAGAAAAAATCTCAATCAATATATATAAAAGGAAAAGTCCTGACTGACTCATCAAAGTCCAAATCAGACCCTTGGGACCTGAAAGCTGAAATTTTGCACATAGCTTCGCCTTTATGGTGTAGATAAGGAATAAGGCGGGATTTTTCGGAATTCCCACGGGATCAACATATGTATAAAAGAGTAAACTGATGATTTATCACGTACAGCTCAAACCGGTGGATCTAGAAACTTGAAATTTTGTATGTAGGTTCTCATCATAATGTAGGCGCGCGCCAAGAAAGGATTTTTGGAAATTCCTCCCCCAAGAGGGTAAAATAGGGTATGAGTATCTTAATATTCGTTCAGTCCTACATTTTCAAAGTAAAAATTTGAAATTTAATATTTAGGCTTCTTAACACTTACTTATTTCAGCGTTTTTGGAAATTCCACCCTTGAAGGGGCCAAATAGGAAATCAAAGATTGTATGGAAGTCATATTTACTTAAAAAAATACTTAGAACTAAGATAGTTTGTTTCACAAATGACGGTTGGTATACGCTAGTGGATGATATTTCAGTCAGTCAGTCAATCAGTCGATCGGTCATTTTACTCTTTTATACCAGGTGTCTGGAAAATGACGAATTAACTCTTCATTACGTTATGTACAGGGGTTTCGGGAGTCCCAAAAAAATAATAAATAAATTCTTTCTGGAGTAGATTACGAAAAAAAAGTAATTTTATAAAATTAAAATTGGCAATACTGCACGCACCTAATGCTTGAATACCTCCGGTTTACTTTCTGATTCTTAGTAACGATGGTGACTGAAATCCACCTTTTATTTTTTTTTTAGGACAACGACCTTAATACACAACATTAATAAATAAACAAAAAAAAACTTTAATAAGACATTTATAAATTATAAACAAAAACGAAACCAATAAAAGAAAAATCCATTAAAGCATGACCAACTAAACACTAGAAAAGATGTAAGTAAGCTCGTAATGTTTCCAAATTTTGATCATTTTTTGTAAAAGTTAGTTATCAGTACTTGCTAAGATAAAACTGATTTTGGCAAATGATATACCCTCCAAGAAAAAAGGGAGGGTGGGTTGTTGGGGCTAGTACTTGCTGAGATAAGAGTAATTTAGGCAAATGAGATACCCTCTAAGAAAAGAGAGAGGGTGGGTGGGCGGGGCTAGTACCTGCTAAGATAAGACTGATTTTAGCAAATGACGTATCATCTAAGAAATGTAATTAAATTATTATATGAAAAGACACTAGAGGCTCCAAAGCACTTCCAAATTCTTTCCAAACAGGACTACCTAGAACCTCAAGGTTGTTGTAAATTGTTCAAAAAAGGGCTCCTAAAATTAACTCAAAAACAGGTCCGGTCAGAATTTTCCAACAATACAACACCAAAGTCCCCCAAAATTGTTTTAAATAATTTACAAAAAAAATCTCCGTGGGCTCCCAAAATAATACACCATGAAGAGTCTCCCGAATTTAAAAAAAAAATCTGCGGCACTCAAGAATTTGCTGATTTGTACCTTCGCTTTATATCAGGCAAACATTGTTGTCAAATGGAATTTTATCAAATTATTACAAAAACAACACAATCATATCTTTGTACATTGTAACTGAAATGGTAATTAAACATGGTCATGGGCGAGAGAAATATTAACTAAAAATTTTATTACTAGTTATTGTGATAATGAATGTGTTGTTTAGTTGTTAAACGTAGCAAAAGACCAATTTTAAAATCATAAGTCCACCAAAATGTGAAGAGGATTTTTTTTTTACTATTTTCCCAGACCCACCAGTTGATTATTATTAAGAGCCTAGCGGGGAGTTAATCCGCAATTTTCCAGACTCCCTGTATATACAGGGTGAGACTTATAATTAGAAATAGAAAAAAAAAGTCAACGGCCAGAGTTGTAGGTTTTTTTGAGGGCTATACTCTAAAAATATTTTTAATTATACAAAATGTTCTGTTTTTAAAGCGTAACACAACTTTTTTTACATGAAACGCCCTATACATTTTTATACATTTTGATTGACTTCTTTTTTGACTGCAGTCCATTTTTTTTGCAGTTATTTAAATTTTTTTGAATTTTTTAGTAATGAGAGTTCACAAAAAAAATAATAATAATAGGGTTATTTTTAAAATTTGTGTTGCAACATTTTGTGGAGAGATAAAGAAAAGTAAGTACTCGCTAAGATTAAGATTAAATTTTCATATAAAGAGTGTTTATAAAACATGTTTTAAAATTGATAGCTACTGCGATGTTTTACTTTTTTTTTAATAGACCCGTCATATTAGAAGAATGAGAACAAAAAGTAGAGCAAGATAAGTAATAAAATAAATAAAATCTTAATATTTTAAAAGTGTAAACTTTTAGATTTTTTGCAGATATTCTATATATCAAAATTTCATTTAGTTGATACCGCAACAAAGCGCGTACCTTTATTTATTCTTCTAAAAAATATAATAAGACAGATTTTAAAAATAATCGTATTGCGATTTTTTATGTGAACCCTTCCATTACCAAAAAATTTCAAGAAAATTGGAATAACGTGGCAACGTCACCTTGCAGTTTCAAAAGTAAACTGTGGTTGCAAAGCCTAAAAAGAGGTTAATCAAAATATGTAAACATGTATGGGTGTTTCATTTAAAAAAACTACCTTGTGGCGTTAAAAACAGAACACTTTACGAAGTTAAAAATAATTTTAGAGTATAGTCCTCAAAGAATCGTAAAACTTTGGTTTTGACTTTTTGTCTGTTTCTAAGAACACAGGCCTGCAAAATGAACTTCATTTTTGCTGTCACGTAAGGTTTATTTGGAAAAAAATACAAAAAAAAAAAAAATTTAAGAAATGCGCAATATTCGATGAAATTTTTCGTTTTGATTTTTTGTTTTTGAAAAAAGTACGTGATGGAATTTTTTTATTATTTTTATCGTGAAGCATCGAAAAGTCTAAGTTAATCTGTTCATTTAAGACAGGTTTTTCATCGCAGGCCTGTGTGATCAATGAGAGATATCGAAGATGGCGCTTTTAGTGACATCCTGTGTGTATAGAGGTGTTTAGCGACATTAAATTTCATATGGCACGTAAACCAGTGCTGCCGTATATAGTGTTACATAGGTATTAATCATCACGCCAAATTCCCTACGGGGTAGGTCGTGACGACAGAGTGCCAACACACACCTCTTTCTCTTCCTCAACTGTCACAGCCCTCTTTGGTCCTATTCTTTGTTTTGCATAATTTTTAGCATATTGTCTATTTTCGTTCTAAAAATCAGAATTAAGTAATCCAGAGATAGAACGTCTAAGTTTGAAAGAAGTATGCTGTAACTCCTACAATGAGAAAAGCTAGTAACAAATAAACCGACGGAAATAAAAAACCGTAACGTAATGTTGACTTTACCCGAAAGGTCTGTGTAGCTAGTTTGATATTAACATTAATATTAGAGCACAATCGGATTGTGTTTGAAAAATAGAATTCAATTACAAATTCCATGTGGTGTTCCATTATACGAAAAGTTGTTTATTTCAAAAGTGAGTTGTTGAAATAACGAGCAACATCGAAACGTTCCCTGTAATTAGAATAGCAGATCATGTGCGTATTGTACAAATTTAAATAGCCTCCTCCAACGTGTTGGGCTTTTTGAATATTGGTTATTTAATTTGCGTGCACTAGAATTTCAATGCACTTTTAATTGATTTTCGAATACCGCTTGTCTATGAATAATTTTCTTTTAATTTCAAAAAGCTTTTACCATCGATCGTCGGAAACATCATAAATGTAGTAGATATTTATGAGGTTTCCGTTAGCGCTACTGGCGACCGATAAACTAATTTTGCTTGAATTTTTAATAATCTGGGTGTTGTTTGTTTACATTGCCGTTCACTCCACGACACTACATCTACTCGTACATACCTACTAAACCGATGGTCCTGTTCAGAGCGAGTCCAATGAAACAAGGATACAGATGGCCAACCAACGTGCCCACGATCTTCTCAAGTAGACACACAACACAAAAACACTAAAATGATTACAGACTTTGATTGCAAACCTGATCCGTTCCCAAGTTTTTGTGCATAATGTTATATCACTACTTAAAATTATGACAATAAACTCCTGGCTATTACCCAAAGTCGGTTTTTGTTGCGTTACTAACGATTCCGAGGGCCGGGAACGGATGGGGTTGGGCCGTAGTTTTTTGTGATGGGGCACACTGGTTATATGTTTGTTGGTTAGGGTGAGAGCAACGAAACGCGCATTGCAATGGCAAACCAGCGTGCCAACAAACTCCTCAAGTCCTAAGGGGAGTGGGACACAAGTCGCCTTTTATACTCTTCTATCAATTCTCGATGTTATGGCTTAGTGTTACCTAGTTTACGAGTATTACTATAACATCATTATAATGTCAGGTAGGGTTAATATTGAAACCTATGGCCGGTTCTACGTTGCATTCTGTAGAGCTAACCGTTTAGTGTGTCTGTCAGGTTCTTTTAGCGATAACGCGCAATCGATTACGTTCCTAATTATGCTCATTTATAACACTTATAATGCTTAGTATCCACGTTATAGCTCTTTGTAAAACTGTATGTAGTTAGGGAAAGCACAAATTCGCACACTTCCTGGATGAAATCCACTCTAGGCTATTTTTATTAATTAGTTGAAGAGTTTGAAAATTCAATTTCGGTATGTCTACTTACACGCCGTCGCGGCGAGGATTTTCTCAAGGTGTGGTGCTAATTGCCGGCGCTTAGTTAGTAGTTCATAACTTGTACCAAGTATTCATATTCAAAATAAATGTGATGTGAGTTTTGGAAGATTTGAAATTGTTAAGTCCACATTGTACATAAGATTGTCCCTATAACTGTATATATTGTTGGTATGTGCACTAGTATCATGGAACTTACCCTAGTTGGTTAGATTCTTTTTAAATTCACATCAAAACTTATTCAATTCTTTTGCGAAGGGGGTGAGTTCACGAAGAATTGTTTTGTTCAAGTTTGGAACAGATTATATACAATTGTTAGGGGAACGCAGATCGGAAGCCTGAAAGGCTATAGCCTTTTTTCTAGTTGAAATGCAATCACTGTGATTAGTCATATCCAAATTGTTCCCAAAGGGGTGTGAATATTTTTGTCCTGACATCTTCCATTATTTAAAAACTTATTTTTTTTTATTATGTACAGTAACTTTAGTTCTAGTGCTAGTTTTTTGATAGTGTTAAGATGGACGAGTGATATTTACTTATTAAGAAAAGATTAAGCGTTACGTCATTGAAATGCTCAAAGTATCTTGGTGACTTAACGTTCGCTGAATTTTTTATTTATTGTCTTAGCAAAATAGACAAGCTTCTTAGTCATTTGGCATTCAAATCGATAGTACCTAATAAATTATTTATATTATTGCATAACATGTATTCTAATAATGTATAGAGTAGGTGATTTCAAATTACAAAATAAAATGTATTATTCGATACCCTAGTTTTATTCACTCTAAATGCCACACTAATAAGAGACAGATAATTCAACAGAATACTTTTTAAATTTCATACTTGTAGTTTATGAATCCACCATTATTTTTTACTCTCGATATGCAGATTTTGCAGTTATAGTAAAATTAATGCATCTCCAATAACGCACAACATGTATTTTAATAATATGTATACTAATACAAACTAAATATACTATTTGAAAAAATTGTTCTATTTATTAAAAGCCTCATTGTCCGTAATAATCTTCTCAATGTAACCTCTAAACTCGTTGTACAGATCTTCACACTCCGCAGTATACGACGGATCAAACATTTTCCCCTCCGGATTTTCTCTAAACAAGAATTCGGCTAGGTAGTCTACAGGATCATCAGGTTTCAACGTAGCAACCTCAATCAAGCCTTTAGTAAGAATGGGGAAGACATATTTCATTAGATAATGTCGCAGCGGTTCGCTTTGTGCAACTAGAATCTTCTCTTCTTCCATTTGTAATTTCTCCAATGTTTCCGCCCAGGCCTCCATTTTATTCTTGCGCTCAGTTTCTGCTCTGTCCGCTTCCAGTTGCCTATTCAATTCAGCTTTTTCGAGCGATAATTTTCGTTCTTGTTCATAGAGCAGACGCAGTTCTTCCTCTTCTTCCGGCGACAAGCCAAAATTGCAAGGAGGTCCTAATTTTTCTATTATCATATTAAATGGTTCTTGATCATCCTCAGCATTCACTTCTAGAAGGATAATGTCGATTTCTAGTTCATCAAAATAGTTGAGAACTGTGTTTTCGTCAGTGTTGTTTTCTCGATAGACCTCGAGTCTTGCTAGAAGATTTTCTTCAGAGTTGCGAGTGTCCTAGAAGAGAGTGATAAAGGCGAAGGCAACAACTTGCACCTATGGGAAATATATAATACTCTGATTGTTTCTTCTGGTAATTTCATGACGCTTTGCGTGATATATTCGTCAGTGGCTACTAAACTGACAATAAGATCGGGCAAGATCTTGCCAGGTTCGATCACTTCCACCACTTCTTCTTCTTCACCTGCTGGCTCTTGGGTTTGGCCGAATAATTCTTTGGCCTGCAACAACCACAGTGTAGTAGTGGGTGGTGATACAAACAATCGTGTACTTGTGCCGTTATTTGAGGAAAATCGTCAAGAACATAACCTCGATTTTGACAAAAATTCTTCGCCAAGTATGTTTTTAATAAACCGGCGATGTAAGTATCGGGTATTTTATTTATCCCTCCTTCCATAAACACTTCAGTCTCTCTTATTTGGTCTAAAATGAGTTGAGGATCTTCCTCTTCTTCATCTTCTTCTTCTAGTTCTTCACCCAAATACTCAGTTTCTTCGGGTTTGGGTGCTTTCGGTTTAATCAAACTTTCCTTCTACATGCACGAAAGATACTAAAAATTATAACCACCACAATCTTACCCAAATGTGTATAAAATCGTCCAACATGGTAGCAATTGAAACATATTTACAGTTGTAATATTCGCACAGCTGCTTCGCTAATTTTGTTTTGCCACACCCGGGTGGTCCGTGGATGACGATTTTCACAGGTTTTAAGTTTCGTGTAGTTTTGAATTCGCGCACTACTTGATTCATGTTTTCGGCGATATTTAGATCGCTTTGCCACTGCAGTTGCAGATTTTCCACAATAAATACAGGTTCCATGTTAAGATTAACCATACATCTGTCGAAAATGGTTTGCTAAAAAACAGTCCTATGAAAATTGTTACGTGTGGCCGAAAAATTTTACGGTCATATTTTTGTAAAGAAACGCTTCTTCTGCAATGATGTTGGTAACTTTGTTATCTGATAATACTTTACTGAGAGTCTTAACAAACTGACTTAACGTGGTGGGGGTCTGCTCTACCGCAAGGATGTATTGAGGTTTCGCAGGAGTATTTTCCATTAGTCCATGAAGAACTCTGTTGGTGGTTCTTTGTGAAAACAGTGAGACAGGTTGCGACTTACCTAGCCAAGTCTCCGACGTGTATAAACGGAATTTTGTTATTACCGGTGTCAAAAATCGGAACGACTTCATTGTACCACGCGTTTTTGAAAAAAAATTCCAGAAGATCCTCTTCTTGACCGTAAGTAATACCGCTGCATACAACGTAAGTTTGTAATTTGTTGCTATACTACACAGAAAGTAAAAATATGGAAGAATAATTTACAATAAGTTACTTTTTGACCGATTTTTATGACTTCCTTTTCACAGTTGTAGTGATCCTTAAAATTCGGGTGCGGCCTTCTCTTTCTATAGTCGACTTCCGAAAACGGAAGATCTGGATCGTCCTAAACAATAAATACCTAACACAAATTTACCCCAAAGTTATAAAACCTACAGGATCTAACGGTTTTGTCTTAGCCCAAGTCATAACAGTCGATATCAGTATAAAAGTTTTCTTTTCATTAAAGTGTTCATAAGCTTTAGGACCGACAGCCTTTACTTCTTCTAGTTGTTGTGTTAAAATGGACAAAGTTTTAAGCGCTTTGCTTATTTCGGTCGGAATTCGTGTAATGTCATAAATTATAAAACCACATCTCAAGATGTCTTCTTCGAAATTCGTGCTCTGCTCGTCAATGATATAAAGAATATCTTCAGTCCCATGTTTTAAAGACGCGCTTATAGAACCGATAAACTCGTATTTGTCAGTGGGCAAATTTCCCATCGGTGGTTTAACTGGTGCTTCTTCGGCTTCACCGAGAGCTTCACCACCACCACCTCGCACAAGTTTCCCGAGCCCATAAATTTGATCAGTGATGTACTGTAAGAGAAATGTTTATGGCGAAAGTCAACAGATCTGAGGGTCTTACAGCTGCGATGTATTTTGAATGGTAACTGTCGACGTGATTAATAAAGACTTTGAATGGTTTATATACTTCTGGTTCAGGTTCCGGTTCAGTCTCGGCTGCATCCCCGGTAGGAGAACCTGGTTCCGTTAGACGCTCTTCTGAAACGCGAAGTAGATCTTCTGACATGTTTTAGAATTGTGACAGTTTTTTGGGTAACATGGAAACTACAAGGTACACTAAATGCACCCAACATTATAATATGTAATCAGGGAAATGTAATTAAATTATTTCTTAGCCGAGTCCTAAATTGGAGCTAATACGGGCCTGTTCCTTGGTCACAAAAGACACGACAGTCAGGCATACCAACATTTGCTCTTTACTGGAAATATTTTTATTGTGTATAAATGATATTTAACATATAAATTTCACAATACGTTCAACAAAGTTGCGATTTCCTGCCCGACTGCAATTACAGCAATTTAGTGGTTCTGAAAGTGATTAAAATCAGACGCTCTTTCGCTTGTCGCTATTGGCAGTACTGCTTGTCACGTTGAGTCACCCTGTTCCCCTCCCCCGACAGTTGACACCTGTCAAAACTTTGTCCATTTATTTTTTTTCTTGAGTTTCCTCGTCAACTTCTCACTGAAAATTGTATGTCTGAGAGTGAAAGCGAGTTCGAGTCGGTGTCGGAAAAAACGAGACTGATGGACGGCCATGTGGAAACAAACGGAAGCGGAAATTCACTTACAGGGGATTCTAGGGTAGGTCCTGAGGGTTCTCGCAAGCGGCGGTCGCGAAGAATCCCAGAGGAGGAGGACGACAATGTCCCCGAGACCCGTGTTGTGGACGGTAGTACAAATAGAAATTCACCTAGGGAGTATCAAAATGTTGCTGAATTCAGAGACGAAGAAGAAGAGTTAAAATATGGAGCCAAACACGTAATTAAGTTATTTGCCCCCGTGTCCCTGTGTATGGTAGTCGTGGTGGCTACCATAAGCGCTGTGAATTTTTATTCAGTTAAAGATATGTATTTGTAAGTGGGAGATTGTTTTCGGGGTGTGTTTGATGACGATGTGTTTGTAGGGTTTACACACCATTTCATGAAGAAAGTTCAGACACAAGCACCAAAGCGTGGAACGCGGCGGCAAATTCATTAATTTTAATGGCGGTTATTGTGGTTATGACTGTATTGTTGATCGTCTTGTATAAATATCGTTGCTATAAAACCATACATGGGTGGTTAATCTTGTCATCTTTAATGCTTCTTTCAGTATTTTCATATCTTTATTTGGAGTAGGTAGGGAAATTTGTGTTAATTTGTAATACTATATAACAACTATTTTAGAGAAATTCTAAGGGCATACAACATTCCCATGGATTATCCAACAATAGTTTTATTGATGTGGAATTTTGGAGTCATGGGCATGATTTGTATTCACTGGCAAGGTCCATTACTTTTGCAACAAGCGTACCTCATTTTTGTTGCCGCTCTTATGGCTTTAGTGTTCATTAAATATCTCCCAGAGTGGACAACATGGGCTGTGTTGGCTGTAATTTCAGTTTGGGGTAAATTTTAGCGCTCACAAAGACGTTTTCTATGTTTTTAATTCCAGATTTAATTGCTGTTTTAATGCCTAAAGGACCTTTACGGATTTTGGTGGAAACAGCTCAAGAGCGAAATGAACAAATTTTCCCCGCTCTCATTTACTCCTGTATGTTGGTAGTTTGGAGTGATAGTTGTTTACATTTAGTAAATTTTAGCAACTTACATGTACACTTACACAAGTATGGCCACCAGTGATGATACTCCTCCAACAGTAGCAACGTCCCGTTCTTCAGTGGAATCAAACAGTGAAGAACATGGTTTTACACAAGACTGGGTCGAAAATCATTCTAACAGAGTTGCTCAACGACAAATAGAAGTACATGATGTTCCTAGAGGGGCCCCGCGGACACAAATTCATCAAGAAGAAGAAGAAAGTAGGTAGTACAAACAAGATCTTCAGTGTTAAACATGTTTTTTGTTGCAGGAGGTGTCAAACTGGGCCTGGGGGATTTCATTTTTTATAGTGTTCTGGTTGGTAAAGCATCGTCGTATGGAGATTGGAATACCACTTTGGCGTGTTTTGTTGCCATCCTCATTGTATAATTAATTAATTGTGACTTTCCTATTCTCACTGGTGTGTTTTTAGGGACTCTGTCTTACTTTACTCTTGCTGGCAATTTTCAAGAAGGCGTTACCTGCACTTCCCATTTCTATTACATTTGGTCTGATTTTTTATTTTGCTACCAAAGAAATTGTTAGTCCGTTTGCTGACAGTCTAGCAAATGAACAAGTATTTATTTAGCTACTTATTAAAACCGTTAAGTAAATAATTTAGACTATCAGATTCATTTTCTGTAATTTTATTAATAAAATTAATATTTCGTATCAGTCGTTTTTATAATCTATAACTTCCACAAGACTCTCAGCTTGCTGAGGCCAAGGTTGATAGTCTGGGTTGCGCAAATCAAAAACTTTGCTTGTGGAACAGTTTGTACATATCCAAATAGATCGTTTTTTCTTTATTCTTACCTTGCAGTTAACTCCGGCTAGTAGCAATGAACGACAGCCTTTACAGAGTGTTCGCTTCAGGTCAATGTCCCTAGAGCCAGAATTGTAATTTTGTCAAAACATAAACTTAAAACTTACAGTCTCTGAACTGCTTTCTTTGAAATTGCAACCAAAAGGTTGCTGTACAAGATAGAAGCAGAATTACTTGCTGCATTTTCAGTTGCCGTTGCATTACAAGCCTGGAATATTTTTTATTATTATTATTAAAAAAAATATATATCTTAATACACACACCTGGTACAAATAATTCATTCGTTGAAAGGTGTCTTTTCCGGGACATTTTTTAATTTTGGAATTTGTATTTACACTGCTATTTTCAGCCCGAGCGGTCGTGTTTTGTGACGACATAACCTCACTTTAGATAAAACCAGAAAACCGGAAAGACTGATGAGACCCTGCCGAAAGTAGCTACAACTACGGTTAATTGTAAATGCGAGGTGTGTTGTACATGTATTGTTTTAGATTGTTAATATAACATTAAACAAATGAACTTTTCGTGGGCTGAAAATTATCCAGAAGTGCATAAGGTGTGCACTTTATTTACTTTAACGGAATTAAATGATCCCGTAAAATATTCGTATAAAGCATTGGAAGGATTTACACAGGATGGGCCCCAGTGTGGACTAGTTGCACTTGGGATGTATATGGGGAGTCCGACCAAGGAATCAATCCAATTATTACTGGAAACTGCTCAAAGACAGGGATATACTAACAATGGAGAAATTTTCAGTGCCCACGACATGGCTGAATTGGCCAAAATACACTTAAAGTCCACCGACATTCAAGTTTACTCAGGATTATTAAATACAAAAGAAATTAAAGAAATTCTTTTACAAGGTGCCAATCTACTAGTGCCTTATGATACCGATAAAGACAATTCGCCGTGTCTTCTCAAAGGGCACAAAGCCCACTGGGCAATTATTTGTGGAGCCGTAGAAACTGACACAAACTTTTTTGTCCTCGCGCGTCACGGGAAAGCCAGAAACATCGCAATTTGGAAATTATCCGACTTATCTGCTAGCAACGCACAACTAAACGAAGTGGGGACATACCAGAAGCAACCAGACATTACGTTTATGATTCCTGAAGGTGGAATAGCCGGTCCTTTGGGTCTTAATTGCAAGTCAGTTATCCTCCGTAGTTGATTGAACTGGAAATAATTCACACTGGCGGTTTTACGCCTTATTGAACGTGAAAGTGTGTAATAGGGTGAATAAATATAAAAACAGTTTACGCTTTGTGGGCACTTTCCTCACTTTTTTGAACGGTGCTAACAGGTGACTGTGACAGTTAAGTTGACACGCAGCATAACCTCACTTCTTTTTTTCGTTATAAAAATGTGAATTTACAATCATTTTAAACAATAAATATGCTTCTAATACGTGCACTTGTTGTTGTTTTTACGTTAAATACGGCTGCTGCGTTTGATTCGGAACAGTTGGAAGTATTTGATGTTGTTGAAGAAGTCAAAGAAAATTTTTACACTTTGCTTAATGTTTCGCAGGTAAGTTGTTGAATGTGTGCATTTTTTCGTATTATGAGGGTACCTTTGTTTTGTTGTAGAGTGCCACGAATCAAGAAATTAAGTCAGCTTTTAGAGCCCTTTCGTTGAAGTTGCACCCTGATAAAAACCCTCACGAAGACACGTCAGTGCAATTTAGAAATTTAGTTTCAGTTTATGAAGTTCTTAGAAGCAGCACCAAGCGACAATATTACGATGAAGTCCTTGTCAATGGACTACCGAACTGGCGCTCAGCCGTTTATTATTATCGCTATGTCCGTAAAATGGGCATGGTGGAAGTTTGTATAATTTTGTTTGTGATTGTTACTATTGGACAGTATATAGTGAATTGGGCGTCGTACTTCGAGCGAAAATACACACTTGTGAGTTACTAATTTCGCCTGTATCAATAAATAATAATTTTTTTATCAGGAACAAATCAGGAAGTCCAAACGCCGTAAAAAAGCAGATGAAACGTTAGAAATGATTGTGATAAAACCTTCAATAACAGACACTCTACCAATCCAAATACCTCGACTACTTTGGCACATGATCATATCTCTACCTAGGACTTTAGGATTTATTAAAACCGCAGTAGCTCAACAAATAGAAGAAGTGACAAGGGCCCCCACACCAGAACCAGAAGAGGCACCAGTCAGAGTCAAGACTGTTCGCAAACGCAATAAGGGTTTCGTTGTACCAGAAGGACCCAACTTTGAAACGACTTTCCAGAGCTCCAATGACAATTCGAGTGCTCCAGCGCCACCTCCCGTTAGTTCTGGCGGCTTGTGGACGGACGACGACTTAGCTGAATTGGTAAAACTGGTGAAAAAGTACCCTGGTGGCACGACAGGGCGGTGGGAAATTATAGCTGAAGTAATGGGAAGATCTGTGGCTGAGGTCACATACATGGCAAATAAAATGAAAGACAGTTGTTACAAGTTACCAAATGAACAGGAGGAGGAGCCTGTACAAGTTAAGGTGAAGCAGAAGACGAAAAAAGAAGTCGATATTGGCGATGATAGCGTGAAAAAATGGAGTCAGGTGCACCAAAAGGCGCTCGAAGAGGCTTTAGCGAGGTACCCGAAAGGTTGTGCTGAGAGGTGGGATAAAATAGCAGACTGTGTTCCTAATAAAACTAAGGTATGTTTTGATTTAGCGTCATAAGTAGTTGCATGAGTTTTCTTACTACTGTGATCTTGAAAATCGGGTTATGACCAAGTCTCCCGACGGGATAATAAAATATATATCAAAGATGAAAAGGAGTGTTCATAAAATTAAAACACTGAAGTGTGGGCACTTTACACAAATATAATAAAAGATTTGTTATAAAATAACACAAAATAAAATGACGCTGTTGAAGTTGATAAATCCGCTGGGGAAACGTGTAGGCGAAATTTAATTATGATGAGACGATAGGTAAATAGCTGGAGATCCATTGAGACCTTCTACGCAACTCATATGCCATATGGCAGGCATACCGTCCCAGCCCACACTTTTCGTTATGTGGCAACGAATCAATATTTTCATAGTCAGAGTTTACGACAATTATTATCAGAGTTACAATTTTTTCTCACGAAATTCTCTTCAAATTCTTTCAAAAACAAAATTCATTATGTAAAAAAAGGCAGCCGGGGTCCCAAGATTTACATTAAAAAGGACACTTGGGGTCCCTATGATTCTCTCATTCTTAAAAAAATACATATCTGTATAAAAGATTTTCTGTGGTTTTAATACATTTTGTAATTATTTTTAACTGAATGATATCAATGTTTCAAAAATATGCAATATCTACATTCATTCCTTTAAATTTTTTGCCAACTGAATTTGAAATTTTCAAACAACTTTTTTAGTTGATAGATAGCAATATTATTAGCATTTTAAGATTAATTAAAGTTTGAAGGCACCTTCATAATGTTTTGAAAATTCCTATAATTCGTGTAATTTTGAAAAAAAAATTGATTCTCGATATTGGTTGTGCTTTAGAGGCAACTTTAACCTAAATAATTTGATAGATTGAAAAAAGTTAGCCCCGCCCAACCACCCTTTTCTATTTCAGTGAACAAATTGTTTTGTTCTAAAATAAAACTAGAATTTCACATTACCAAAAACTAAAACCTGGTGTAATTAATTTCTTTTCCTCATTGTTGCCCTTGATGAGGGAAGTTCGCGTAAATAAGTTTACATTTCATCTGCACTCTATCTGCAGTCATTTCATTTTCTTAAACAAAGTTGTGAATTTGTCGAAATTTTCTTCTCGAAATTCTCTTCAAATTTTTTCAGAAATAAAATACATTCTTAAAAAAAAATAGCAGGGGCCCCAAGATTCACATTTAAAAAAGGACACAAGGGCCCCCAAAATTCCTTCATTCTTAAAAAAATACATGTTTAAAAACTTTTCTGCTGATTCAATATATTATGCAATTTTTTTTTAACTGAAAGAAGACACCAAAGTTTGAAAAATATACAATTTCTGAATTTATTCCATTCAATTTTCATTTTTTACCACCTGAATTTGAATTAGAATTTTAATTTATTGAAGGTTGAGGACTTCAAAGACTAAAAAAAATAAATTGATATACCATCATGAAATTTTGAAAATTCCTATATTTTTTGCAATTTTGAAAAAAAAATTTTATTCTCGATATTTTTAGAAATTATCTTTCTACAGAGTGTATTGGTTTTGCTTCAGAGGCAACTTCGACCTAAATAATTTTATAGATTAAAAAAAAGTTGGTCCCACCCACCCACCCCTTCTCCATTCCAGTGAACAAATTGCTTTGTTCTAAAATAAACAGGGTTTTCATATTACCAAAAACTAAAACCTAATTCACTTCTTCTCCTCATTGTTGCCCTTCAGAGATGAGGGAAGTTCGTGTAAATAAGCGTAAAAAGTTACTGCATCCTATCTGCAGTAACTTCATTTTTTTAACAGAGTTGCAAATTTTTCGAAATTTTCTTCTCAAAATTCTCGTCAGATTCTTTCAAAACCAAAATATATTCTTAAAAAAATACAGCAGGGGCCCCAAGATTTACTTTAAAAAAAGGACACTTGGAGTCCCTAAGATTCTTTTAACCTCTTTCATAAATAAGACACAAGGGCCCCCAAAATTCCTTCATTCTTAAAAAAATACATGTTTAAAAACTTTTCGGTTGTTTTAATATATTTTGTAATTATTTTCTAATTGAAAGAAAACTCCAGATTTTCAAAAATTACAATGACTGAATTTATTCCATTCAATTTTCATTTTTTTTTGTCAACTGAATTTCAATTAGCATTTTAAGGTTTATTGAAATTTGAGGACATCAAAGAGTAAAACAAATTTGGTAAACTGACATGAAATTTTGAAAATTCCTATAATTTTTGAAATTTTGAAAAATGTTTGATTCTCGATATTTTTTTAAATTATCTTTCTACAGTATATTGTTTTGCTTCAGAGGCAACTTTGACCTAAATAATTTTATAGATTAAAAAAAATTTGCCCCGCCCACCTACCCCTGCATTTCAGTGAACAAATTGCTTCGTTCTGAAATAAAACAAGGATTTCACATTTCCAAAAACTAAAACCTAGTGTAATTCATTTCTTTTCCTCATCGTTGGCCTTCACAGATGAGGGAAGTTCGCAGAAATAAGATTACATTTCATCTGCACACTATCTGCAGTAATTTCATTTTCTTAAACGGAGTTATAAATATTTCGAAATTTTCATCAAATTCTTTGAAAAACAAAATACATTCTTTAAAAAAAAGGCAGCAGGGGCCCCGGATTCATATTAAAAAAAGACACTAGGGGACTCTAAGATTCTTTTAAACTCTTTCATAAACAATACATAAGGGCGTCCGAGATTCTCTCATTCTTAAAAAAAAATACATGTATTAAAAAATTTTCTGTAGTTTCAATAGAATTTGTAATTATTTTTTAGCTGAAAAAAGAAACCAAAATTACAAAAATACACAATTTCTAAATTCATTCAATTCAATTTTCAATTTTTTTATCAACTGAATGTGAAATCTTGCATTTTTAACTTTTAAACAACTTTTTCAATTGATACGTAACATTATTATTAGCATTTTACAATTTATTGAAGTTTGAGGACTTCGAGGAGTAAAAAAAAATTGGTAACCTTCATGAGAGTTTGTAAATTCTTATAATTTTTGCAGTTTTGAAAAATATTTGATTCTCGATATTTTTAGAAATCATCTTCTACAGGGTGTATTGGTTGTGCTTTAGAGGTAACTTTGACATACATAATTTTATAGATTAAAAAAAGTTAGCCCCGCCCACCCACCCCTTCTCCATTTCAGTGAACAAATTACTTTGTTCTAAAATAACACAAGTATTTCACATTACCAAAAACTAAAATCTAGTGTACCTAATTTATTTCTTTTCCTTATTGTTGTCTTTCAGAGACGAGGGAAGTTCGCTTAAATGAGATTACATTTCACCTGCACCCTGTCTGTAGTAAATTCATTTCCTTAAACAGAGTTGCAAATTTTTCAAAATTTTCCTCTCGAAATTCTCTTCAAAATCTTTCAAAAATAAAATACATTCTTAAAAAAAAAGGACACTTGAGGTCCCTAAGATTCTTTTAAACTTTTTCATGAACAAGACACAAGGGACTCCAACATTCTTTCATTCTTAAAAAAAAATACATTTATTAAAAAAAATTTTTAGTTTTAACACATTTTGTAATTATTTTTTAACTGAAAGAAGACACCAAATTTTAAAAATTATATAATATTTAAATTCATTTCATTCAATTTTAATGTTTTTTACCATCTGAATGTAAAATTTTTCACTTTTAACTTGTAGACAACTTTTTCAATTGATAAATAGCTAGCATTATTATTAGCATTTTAAGATTTATTGAAGTTTGAGGACCTCAAAGAGTATACCTTCATGAAATTTTGAAAATTCTTACAATTTTTGCAATTTTGAAAAATCTTTGATTATCGATAGTTTTAGAAATCATCTTTCTACATCTACAGAGTGTATTGGTTGTGCTTTAGAAGCAACTTTAACCTAAATAATTTTATAGATTAAAAAAGTTAGCCCCACCCACCCACCCCTCTCCATTTCAGTGAACAAATCGCTTTGTTTTAAAATAAAACAAGTATTTCACATTACCAAAAACTAAAATCTGGTGTACCTATTTCATTTCTTTTCCTTATTGTTGCCTTTCAGAAACGAGGGAAGTTCGCTTAAATCAGATTACATTTCACCTGCACCCTGTTACAGTAATTTCATTTCCTTAAACAGAGTTACAAATTTTTCAAAATTTTTCTCTCCAAATTTTCGTCAGATTCTTTCAAAACAAAATATATTCTTAAAAAAATACAGCAGGGGCCCCAAGATTTACTTCAAAAAAAGGACACAATGGGCCTCTAAGATTCTTTTAAACTCTTTTGTAAATAAGACAAGGGCCCTCAAGATTTCCTCATTCTTAAAAAAATACATGTTTTAAAAACTTTTCTGTTGTTTTAATTTTATATATTAATTATTTTCTAACTGAAAGGAGACACTAGATTTTCAAAAATTACAATTACTGAATTTATTCCATTCAATTTTCATTTTTTTTTGTCAACTGAATTTGAATTAGCATTTTAAGATTTATTGAAATTTGAGGACATCAAAGAGTAAAACAAATCTGGTAAACTTTCATGAAATTTTGAAAATTCCTATAATTTTTGAAATTTTGAAAAATGTTTGATTCTCGAGATTTTTAGAAATTATCTTTCTACAGAGTGTATTGGTTTTGCTTCAGAGGCAACTTTGACCTAAATAATTTTATAGATTAAAAAAAATAGTCCCGCCCACCTACTCCTCCATTTCAGTGAACAAATTGCTTCGTTCTGAAATAAAACAAGGTTTTCACATTTCCAAAAACTAAAACCTAGTGTAATTCATTTCTTTTCCTCATCGTTGGCCTTCACAGATGAGGGAAGTTCGCAGAAATAAGATTATATTTCATCTGCACCCTATCTGCACTAATTTCATTTTCTTAAACAGAGTTATAAATATTTCGAAATTTTCCTTTCGAAATTCTCATCAAATTCTTTCAAAAACAAAATACATTCTTAAAAAACAGGCAGCAGGGGCCCAGGATTCATATTAAAAAAAGACACTAGGGGACTCTAAGATA